CGGGGCCTGTAAGCCCTAAGTTTCAGGCTTTTAGGCTGAATGTCCGGGACGGGCCCTGCAGGGCCCGTGTGGCTACGCAGTATRCCACACCCCCCCCCCTCCTTGAAGAACCGAGCTTACCTGCGAGGGCGAAGCTGTCTGTCTGAGGGAGGGACCACAGTCCGGGTGGGAGGGGCTGGTCGTGAAGCTTCCTGAGCTAACCTCCGCTTTTCATAACGCGCGTAGATCAGTGGTGCGGATGCTTTCAAATCTGCGCCTGAAATCCACCGAGTGTCGTCGCCATCGCATGCTTTGAATGTGACTTTGTACTGCCGCGGCTTGCTGCCATACTTGCGATCGGAGATGGCGCGGTCAACTTCCTGATGGCCATCCATAGAAGGAGGGTCCTGCGATCGTCGGTCCGGAAAGTCGTCGCTCTTGGCTGGCGTGTACGTTGCCAGCTTCGAGGCGTGGAAGACCGGATGGACCGTCAGATGCTCTGGAATGTTGATCACAAATGAAGCGCCATCGGGATCATCGCCCGCGGCTGCTGTCACAGACCAAGGTCCAAACCACTTGGGAAGCAGTTTGCGTGAAACATCCTGTTCCAGTGCAAACTCTTCCGCGGAGACCCAAACCAGATCACCGGCGGGGATGGGACATGGTACGCAACGCCTGTTGGCTTGCTGCGGCATGCGGACTTGAGCCTTTTGCATATTTGCGCCGGCTTGAGTCAGCAATTCCCTGTACTTCCAGAGAGCGGGAGAGCAGGCAGCGTCAATGTCGGCTGGTCGAGGGAGGAACAGGTCGGCGAAGATCCGGCCTTTCCGTCCACCGTGGTGCAACTCGAATGGAGTCACGCCGATCGCCGGATGCACCGAAGTGTTGTAGGCGAACTCGATGTCGGGGAGGCGGTCAACCCAATCTTTCTGGTCCGGACGGATGAGCGTACGAAGCATCATCTGAGCGGTTTGATGTTCCCGCTCCGTCTGCCCGTCTGTCTGAGGATGTCAAGCCGAACTTGGTTTCATTGTTGTGTCGGACTCCTGCATGAGAGCAGTTCAAAACGCCAACATGAAATGAGTGTCGCAGTTGCTGACAACATCTTCTGGTACACCGTGGCCACAAATCCAACCAGTGCGCAGGAGGCGTGCCAGCTCGGGAGCCGTGGAGTAGTACTTGCAAGGGAGAAAGCGCACGTACTTACTCAATCGGTCCACAACCGTGAGGATGCCGTCGTGCCCGAGCCAGTCGCGAGGAAACGGACCGGTGACGTCCATGGCAATGGAGAGACCGGGTTCCCGTGGGATACGCATCGGGTGTAACTCGCCGTAGGGATTGCGGTTGCGGGGCTTGCTACGTCGGCAAACTTCGCAAGAGTCGCAATACCGAGTGACATCGGTAATGAGGTCGGGCCATCGAAATCGCTGTCGAAGCCGTGCAATAGTGCGGTTGACTCCGAAATGGCCGGCGAGTCGTGAATCATGATACTCGCCGAGGAGGCGAGTCCGAAGACGACGGTCRCGTGGGACAMATAGTAAGTCCTTGCCTCTCGAGTGGAGGAGCAAGTACCCGTCGGCAATGCGGTAACGGCTGGCCAGCGGGTGATCCAAAGATAGTTGTGCATAGAGCGTGTCGAAGTCCGGATCAGACTAATATGCCCGGATGAAGTGTCGCTGAAGCTCCTCGTCGAGTGCGAAGGCATGATGTGTCATAGCGCAAAGATCAGGTCTTCGCGAGAGTGCATTTACTGCGCGATTGGAGAGGTCGGGGACATGTTTCGGTGTGAAGTCAAATTGGTCGATGAAGTACATCCATCGTCCGATCGTGCTGCTCACCGTGTCTTGCGTCTTATAGTAGGTCAATGGATTGTTGTCTGTGACCCATGTGAACCTACGACGCCCAAGGAGGAAGTGCCGCCAGCGCTTGAGAGCCATTCTTCCTTGCATCATCAAGCGAGTTGATAGGAGGCACTTTGTGGCTGAAATACTCCACAGGGTGTCAGTCGTCGCCGTCGTGCTGTTCCAGGACTGGCCCAATGCCATAGCCGGAAGCGTCCGTAGTCACTCGTGTCGGCAAGGTGGGGTCATAGATGCTAAGGACGGGTGCCATGAGCATAGCCGTCTTAAGTGTTTGGAATGACCGGCGTGACTCGTCATCGAATACGAATGGCACCTTTGGCGACTGTAACCTCGTCATAGGTGCAGCAATCCTGGAGTATCCGATGATGAATCGCTGATAGTAGCCCGCCAACCCCATGAATGAACGAACGTCCGTGGTGTTGGTGGGCTCGGGCCATACTCGTAGGGCCTCGATCTTGTCCGCAAGCGGACGGATGCCTTGCGGCGTCACATAGTGTCCCAAGTACTCCAGCTCCTGCTGTGCGAACTCGCACTTGTCGCGGTTTGCTTTGTACTTGGCTGGTCGTAGCCGCTCCAAAACGGTGCGCAGGTGTTCCACATGCTCGTCCAAACTTCGACTATACACCAAGATGTCGTCGAGGTAAATGAGTACAAACCGATCCAGCATGTGTCGGAACTCCGTTGTCATAGCCGCTTTGAAAGCGGCTAGGGCATTCGTAAGGCCAAACGGCATGACCAGCCATTCGAAATGCCCATACCGTGTCTTGACGGTCTTGTAGCGATCCTCCTTGCAAATCTCGAGTTGGTGGTACCCTGACTTGAGATCCAACTTAGAGAAGAACTGGGCGCCGCCCAATCGCTCGAGAAGTTCGTCGATGCGTGTGAGAGGGTTTGCGTTCCTGATGGTCTGCGCGTTGAGCTTGTGATAATCGATGCACAACCGCAGGTCCTTGTTCTTCTTCCGGACGAAGAGAACAGGAGCACCGTATGGCGATGAGCTAGGCCGAATCCAACCTTTCTCCAGGAGGCCGTCGAGTTGTGCCCGAAGCACTCTTCCTCGCTCATTCGGTAGATGCAACCACACGGAGCTACGGCCCCGTCCTCGAGGATGATCTCGTGGCGGATGGGTCGATCCGGTACTACTCCGTGCGGGCCTTCGAACACGACGTTGTAGGCGTCGAGAAGCTCGGTGATGCGTGGATCCGAAGGTGAGCCCGTCGATGAAGCGTCATGGGGCGGGAGGGCATGGAGAAAACACACCCCCATCTCCTCGATCTCGTCTCTGATGATGGAAGCTCGCATGCTTGCGGCAGATACCGCGTGGCAGCTGATCGAAGGATGAGGAAGAGGCACCGTGCATGGAACTAGTACTCCATTCCGATCACGAATGTGAACGGTGCGGTGGTAGAAGTTCACCGGGTGATCCTCACTTCGCAGCCATGACATGCCCAAGATCATGTCGAATTTGGTGTCCAGAATGTCAAAGGACACCGCCTCACTTGCGTGAGGGGCAAAGTACAATGGGACGTTGTCAATGCATCGCTCGATTGACTTGTGCGTGTGATCGTCCGCCAATGTGACTTGCGTAGGCTGGGGCTTCCTTCGGACGCGTGGGCCAAGGCCGGCACGCACCATGACGTCCTGGCTCATGTAGTTGCGAGATGCTCCGCAATCGATCAAGGCGCTGCAGGTGGCCTCTCCATTCTGAATGCGTGCGTATAGCAATGGTGCATCGATGTCGTCGTACCATTGCGTCTTGAACTCGCGGTCGATCTTTGCGATGTAAGCTTGAAGGTCGACAACCTCTGCTCCGGCGACCATCCACGGAGCTGGTACTGCAGTGTGCAAGTAATCCCGCAATTGTGCCATGAGCACGTTGCAATGCGGTTTCGGCAATCGTCCGGTCGAGGGAACAGGCATCCACTGGAAGTCCGTGAACGTCAATGGGTCGAGCTCTTCAAGTTTTGACCATGACGTCGAATCCCTGGCGATAGATTGCGGCGAAACTGCCGAATCGGTTGCCGATGGTGATGAAACCGTGCATGCGGTGGATTGTTGCACGTGGAGCGGTTGGTCCAGCGGTGGAACCAAGTGGACAGCATARWCCTCGTAAGTRTAMCGAGRACTTGCGACATTCRCRTYCTCCCCAGATGTGCASGAGRYCGCTAGCAAGGCAGCCGAATCTGGCGGAGTAGAAGGTGGAGTCGCCTCACCTTCCGCGGAGCTCAGTTTCCCGAGCTGAGGCGGGGTCGCACATCCTCCTTGCCCTGATCCTGGCACAGGGAGGTCTTGTGCTTGGTGCTGTTGCACCAATAGCAGCTGCCGTAGCGGCCGCGGACCTTGTGCTCCGCCTCGGTCAAGCCGAACTTGACCCATGGCACTTGTACTGGCTGTCCATTTCCGGCCTGCGATGCGGATTTCGCCTTCCCATTGTTGCGGGACTTGTTGTTGCTTCGCGGCTGGACAACAGCCACCTGATCTTCGTCACTTGATGCTGGAGTGGCTGCTGGGTTATCTCCACTGTCCGATTGGACTGCAGCGAAGTGCTGCTGTCGCGGACCAGTTCGTACCTTCTCCACATAGGTCGGCTGCCATGTTGACCTCTCGTGTGCAGCTGACCTGTTGGTCTTGATGATTTCTCTCGCCTTGTCGATAATCTCGGCGAAAGTGGAGTACTGCTCGCGATCACCAAGAGCCTGGCTCAATACAGCACAAGACCTGTTGTAGAACTCTCGTCTGAGATGAGTGAAAGGCAGATCCAAATTGGGCACTGCCCCAATCTTCTGCCACTTTGTGAGCCAATCCCGTGTTGCAATGTTGCCCTGTGACATGGTGAACAAACGGTTGATGGCGAGTGTCAGCGCGTCGGCGACGATGAACCGCTTCTTCCACAGCCGTGTCAGTTCCTCCCATGTGATTATGTCCTTCAAGTCTGGTACGTCGACGCCGTGGGAGGTTGTCAGGTGGCTCAACCAGGTCTGGCATCCGTCCTTTCGAGTTCAGGAACAGGGCGCCGATGTACGCATGCTCGGCTACAGGCAGAGTCCTGAGTTGCATTGTGAATGCTTCCCACCAGAGGACCGGATCCTGCTGCGTGTAGTCGTCGAACCTCTCCAAGTTGAAAGTTGGCATCTTGTACATCTTCGGATTGTCACCCGCGTTCGTCGACTGCAGCTGCTGGACCTCGGTCTTCAGGCTATTCTTGGCCTGTTCCGCATCCCTGTTTACGTGCCTGAGTCTTAAGGGCAGGTCGAAACAATGAGGGCCTGAAAATGGCCCGCCGTTTCAGGCTGAAAACTCTGGGTCTGAAAAGACCCAGAAATAGGCTGAAACGGGGTAGGGCCTGCAGGCCCTCGTTTTTCAGCTTTCAGGCTGAAACGACCGGGGCCTGTAAGCCCTAAGTTTTAGGCTTTTAGGCTGAATGTCCGGGACGGGCCCTGCAGGGCCCGTGTGGCTACGCAGTATGCCACACCCGGATACACAGGGCAGTGACTGCTCTTTCTCGCAAGCAGACGCGGCCAGAAGTTGTACGTCCTTGGCGAAGGCCATTTCAGCTTGAAGAAGAGACACCTGCGATTCCTAAAGACATTCTACTGGGCAGCAACGGGAAACAACATTGCAGATCACGAGACGAGTTGTGCGACCTGTCAATCGACCAAGGGCGAATGCAGATGCCCTATGGTCTCTTGGTGCCGCTTCCGATCCCAGACATCCCCAGAATGTGCATCAGAAAGCTAACCGCAGCAAACCGGAAGAGCCACTCAATTTTCGTCATCGCTGACCGTCTCAGCAAGCTTGTGAGGTTGATGCCCATTACAGCAGGACAGCATCAACCAAGGAGGTTGCCAAAGCTCTATGCAGACCACTTGGCATTTGACTTCCATTTCCCAACAGGTATCGTGAGCGATGGAGATAATCGCTTCACAAGCAAGCGATGGCAGACGCCGGCGCACTCTGCCAATACCAAACTCAACATGAACTCTGAATGTGATGACCAAACAGAGGGCATAAATAGGACTGTACAGTAGTTCTTGTGTCATCTGATCCAGCCCAACCAGATCGATTAGGATCAGCATTTCACAGAGGTAGCAAGCGCATACAATGATTGTGTACCCTTACCGTGCTAATACCCTTTGTACTGCAGCATGGTTGAAGACTTCCTGGTTCCCGATCAGCGGGCCAAATGTCCTCCTCGGACGCTGGAATTTGCAGGCCAGTTCACAGAAAATCAGCAGGCGATTCAAAGCATGCCGCAGGCACAGCAGGGAATGGTAGACGAGCCCAATAAACACTGCCGACCTTATGTATTCAGGGAAGGAGAACTTGTAAGCACGGGTGAGTTTGCTGCAGAAGGGGTGTGCAGAAAACTGCTACCAAAGTGGTCTGAACCTTGGGCTATACTACATGTTGCCAGTGAAGATCCGGCAGCAGGCCCTCATATG